GCGGGCGGGGCGGGGCGCGGGGCGGGGGCGCCGGGTCGCCGCGGGGCAGGCGCTGGAGCCGGTCGGGGGCGGGCGGGGCGGCCGCAGTGGCCGTCGCCTCACTTCCGGGAGCGCCTGGGCGCCGCGCCCGCCTTCTGTGCGCGCCGCAGCCTGCCGGCCAGCCCCCAACCCGCAGGCGAACGAGCGCGCGGCCAGGCCGGAGCCCCCAGCGCTCGCCGCCCGGGCGGCTCCCTCCGGCCATGGGGGCGTCCGCGCGGCTGCTGCGCGCGGTGATCATGGGGGCGCCGGGCTCGGGCAAGGGCACCGTGTCGTCGCGCATCACCAAGCACTTCGCGCTGAAGCACCTCTCCAGCGGGGACCTGCTCCGAGACAACATGCTTCGGGGCACAGGTGGGAGCCGGAGCCGGAGGGCTGGCGGTGCGCCGTCGCCGGGGCCGGGATTTGCGGGCGGGGTTGCGGATCTGGGGAAAGTGGGGCCCCGGGATGCGGGGTCGGGGGTGCGGGTCCTGGGATGCGGGTTCCCGGATGCAGGTCCAGGGATGCGGACGCGGCATCCCCCTCCCGCCGCCCAGGGGAGAGACCTTAGGCAGCTGAGCAATTGCGCCCCGAAAGCTCCAGCCTCCGGGGCAGCTTTGGGCGGGTTATTGGGGGAAAAGACTCGAGAGTTAGGACAAGTTCGAAGTTCAAAGTTTAAAGTGAACTGCTTGGCTTTGTTTGAGAAGCACGTCCAGGTCCAGTCGCTGCTGCTCGCTTAGGAACACGTGCCCTTCCACCTGGAGAACTGAAGTTTGACCTGAAGGGTTTGCTCTTCCTTTTTTTTTTTTTTGGTTGAACTCTGGGATTTTCCGGATCCACCCTTTCTCCCATAATCTGAAGGCCGGCTATTTGTGCTCGTTGCAATAACAAAATTGGCTTAGATCTTTGATACCCCAGAGATTTCTTAGGAAAGCTATTCTTGTGCATAGTTATCTGAACGACTGTTTTGTTTCTCATACCATGTAAATTCTAATAACTCAGCACCAAATCCAGTCAACAAACTCTATACTTTACAATGGATGAATTTTATGTTAAGCAAATTATATCTTAAGAAAGCTGTTATGTTTTAAAATTTTTCTAAAAAAGATTTTAAAATATTTTTCTTAAAGTAATTTCTACACCCATCGTAGGACTTGAACTCACCACCAGGAGATCCGAGATCGAGTCTCATGCTCTACCGACTGAGCCAGCCAGGGCCCCAAGAAAGCTACTTTTAAAAAGTCAACAGTAAGATGAGGTTTTTTTTCCTCAAAGGTGTTGACCTTTATTTTCCAAAACAGAACTCATTTTGAGCCTCCTTTTAAAAAATTTTAGAAATAATGCCTGCACAAGGTAAAAAAAGGATCGGAAAAAGGACAGAAATACATGTAATGAAAAGTAAAGCCCTCTCTCCTTCCCTGCCTCAGTCCAGTTCTTCACAGGGGAACAGGACCTTGTGTTTCCTTTTAGAAATGTGTATTTGTGTACAGACACACGAGTATCTAGCCCTTACTTTATGCAGTATGCAATCATACTATGTATGTATTCTGCACCAGCGTGTTTTCACTTTATATCTAGGATACTTTTCCACATCAGAACATAAAAATCCATCTCATTCTGTTCATGCTTGTATAGGTATCTGTTTTGCTGAACCTAGATCGTTTCTAGGTGGGGTTTTTGTCTGTTTCAGAATGTAAGTGAAAAAAAGAACCACCTCGATGTTTTTAGTTTGTCTCAAGGAGTCTGGCAAGTGACTGCTTTTATTTTTCTCTTCTAGCATTGATCTTTTAGGAAACATACTACAGTGTATAGTGTTTTGTGGTCAGTTAACACTTCTTCAAAAGGTTAAATTGTTTGGCCTGCTTGCTAAATGCTCTTCATGCAACATACTTAAGTAGTTAGGTAACAGTGAACAGCCTCTAACCAGGCACCTGGTGGGGGTAAGGTTATCCAGAGTGGGAAGGCATAAGGAATGCATAAGGGATTCTCTGAAAGATAACTGAGCAGTGAGGTATCACTGTGTGGTTAAAGAACACTTTCGGCAGCGAGTTAGGGTTCCATTGATTTGTGAAAACATAAAGCATTTTTAAAAATTAAATTGAAAGCCAATGAAGTAAACTTTTTTCAAAATTAAGAAACAATGTTCTGTTTAGCCTTAACATCCCGGGACAGGCCCACTGTTCTCTTTCTGGCTCCATGTGGAGAAAGGAAGGCGGGAGGCAGGGGTGGGAGCATCCCTTAGAAGAAAGTCCAGCTTGCCTCAGGTGCCTGCTCATCTTTAAAAGGTCATTAAAAACAGCATTTCTTTAACAAAACAGAAAATGGAGCTTAGGGAGATGTCAGGAGCTTGTTATTACAGATGTTCTTCTGTATCTCAGGACTAAGAATAATATATTCTCAAATATTTTTCTCTTCTCTTTTTTTTTTTTTAAGTGGGATTGGATATTTCCTACAGGATCAGAGCCAAAAAAGAGATGTAGTCTTTTATTAAAAATTACAGTTTCATATTTTTTGATACTAAAAGTAAAGTATATTATAAAGGAAGAAAAACATGTCATTGAGAATATAAAAAAGAGAATTAAAATCCGCATAATTCCACCACCCGGAAACAGTTACAGTTAACCCTTTAGTGCCTTATGTGCTTTTTTCTTTGTTTTTTACTCTGTTGCATCTGTATGTATTTGCAAAATTGTTGCATTCTAAATGATTGCTCATATACCTTTTTTCTCACTTATTGGGAGCATGTCCACCCACCACGAGGCAGTCTTAGAAATGATATTTAATTTTTTTATTTATACTTTTTTTAAAGATTTTATTTATTTGACACAGAGAGAGCGCATGTGCGCACAAGCGGGGGAGGGGCAGGCAGAGGGAGAGAGAGAGAGAGAGAGAGAGAGAGAGAGAAGTAGACTCCCCCCTGAGCAGGGAGCCCCATGAGGGACTCAATCCCAGGATCATGACCTGAGCTGAAGGCAGACGCTTCACTGAGCCATCCAGGCGCCCCGAAAATGATATTTAATTTTAACCTTTTCCTATCATTGGACATTTACATTGTTAACCATTCTTTGCTATAATAAATACTGTTATGCCTCTTTGTTCATGAACACTTGGCAGCATCTCTGCTCATTTCCTTCCAATATGAAATCCTTAGCGTGGAATTTCTATAAACGTGGTCCTGTCAAATAGTGCTGGGAAGGAGGGCACCAGTTTACTCTCAAACCACTATTTCATCAGGGTGCTGTGTTTTGTAACCTGGAGCTGTATTTTTTAACTAAGGTTTAAAATCAACGCAAAGGATGTGACAAGGACACTGGACACACGAGGCCACCTGCTGGCAGGAGCAGATGTGGAGTAAGGGTGGCCAGCCCTGACCCCGGAGTCAAGAGGCTGGAGCCTGACCCTTAGACATTAGGCCAGCCCTCTGGCTTAAAGATAAGCATCTGAGTGCAGGAGAGGTTGCAGAACTCACTCAATTACAAACAGCAGTTACGGGGAGACAAGAGTGAACACCCAGGTCTCCTTGAGCACCAGTTAGACACTTTCCCTGATGCAGTGTTGATGGTCAAGAGATCATTCTAAGTGGACACAGTTTTTTAATCTATTTATTTCAAAGGATATTTGAAAAGCAACAAACACACCAACCCTTTATTTTTATGAACATGATAATTCATTAATTTGAAAAGCTGGGTCGCTTTGAAGAAAGTTATGCAGTAAGTAATAGTCCATCTGTGGCAGAAATTGTGAGGTGGCCATGGGATTGCCCAAAGTTTGAGAAACTGCCTTGTGGCTTAGCGCTTCTCAAAGACGGAACCCTGCACTAGATGGCTGATCCTTTCGAATGTCCTTTGTGCTCATCTGTATGTTGGGGAAACTGAACTCAGTAGAAAATCTTCAAAGTCTCTGTCAGCTCCCAAGATTCCCCAACAAAACTTTAATCATATCCACCTGTGCAGCATAAGCACCCCTAATTAGAATGATTTTGATGGTAGGGCAAATTATTTTTGTAATGGCAAAAAACCCCCAAGCCCTAATTTATAGGAGGCAATATATTTACATGGTTTGGAATTCCAAAAAATGTAAAAGGGCATTTAGTGAAAAGATCCTTCTAGAGCTATTTCATGTATATACAACCAAATGTTTACCTGTTCTTCCCCTGTTATTTCTTACACAAATGACAGCAAATTGTAATACTGTTCTGTACCTTTCATAATAGTGCTTTTGATAAGGATTGCCTCATTTTTAACAGCTTTATTGAGATCTAATATACCATATATTTTACCCATTTAAAGTTAAGATTTTATTTATTTATTTGACAGAAAGAGACATAGCCAGAGAGGGAACACAAGCAGGGGGAGTGGGAGAGGGAGAAGCGGGCTTCCCGCGGAGCAGGGAGCCCGATGCGGGGCTCGATCCCAGGACCCTGCGATCAGGACCTGAGCCGAAGGCAGATGCTTAATGACTGAGCCACCCAGGCGCCCCTAAAGTTTACAATTTAAGGGACTTTAGTATATGCACAGAGTTGTGCAACCATTAACACAGTCAATTTTAGAACCTTTTCATTACCCCCCAAAGAGACCTCATACCCATTAGTCACTCCTGTCCCCCTCCCTCCCACCCCACCCCCAATCTGAGCCCCTGGCAACGCTGATCTACTTTCTGCCTCTATTGATTTGCCTAATCTGGACATTTCAGACAAACGGACTCATACAATATGTGGTCTTCTGTGTCTGGCTTCTTGCACTTAGCCTGAGGTTTTCAAGGTTCACCCATGTTGTAGTGTGTGTTGCTTCTCCATCTGTTATATTGCTGAGTGGTACTTCAAATGGATGTAGCAGATTTTATTTATCCATTCATGAGTTGGTGGACTTGTCTTCAAGTTCATACACTTTGTAACATACATCAGTTTTTTTTTATGGCCGAATGATATAATTTTGTATAGATATATCACATTTTATTTATCCATTAATCACTTGGCAGACATTTGAGTTTCCACTTTTCAGCTATTGTGAATAATGTTGCTTTGAACACTCATGTATAAGTTTTTGTGTAGATGTCTGTTTTAATTTCTCTTGGATATGTGTGTGTGTGTGTGTGTGTGTGTGTGTGTGTACCTTGGCATGGCATGCAACTGCTAGGTAAGATTGTAACTCTTTTTAACATTTTGAAAACTGCCACGGTATTTTTCCAGTTTGGCTACAGCATTTAAAACCCTACCAGCAACAGAGGAGGGTTTCCACTTCTCAACATTCTTGTCAACACTTGATATTATCTGTCTCTTTGATTGTAGTCATCCTGGTGAGTGTAAAATGGTATCTCATTGTGGTTTCCATTTCTATTTCCTTAATGACTAGTCATGTTGAGCATCTTCCCATGTGCTTTTTGGCCACTTGTATATCTGCTTTTTGTATTCAGATCTTTTTCCCATTTTTAAAAATGGGTTGTCTTTTCATTGTGTAAGAATTACGTCTTTTATTGTTGTAAGAATACTTTAGATATTCTATATACAAGTTCCTTATCAGATACAGGATTTACAAAAATTTTCTTCCATTCAGTGGATTGTCTTTTCACTTTTGTTGTGTTCTTTGAAGCACAAAGGTTTTTAATTTTAATGAATCCAGTTCATCTATTTTTTCTCTTTTTTTTTTTAAAGATTTTATTTATTTGACAGAGACACAAACAGTGAGAGAGGGAACACAAGCAGGGGGAGTGGGAGAGGGAGAAGCAGGCTTCCCGCCGAGCAGGGAGCCCGATGTGGGGCTCGATCCCAGGACCCTGGGACCATTACCTGAGCCGAAGGCAGATGCTTAAGCACCTTCATCTATTTTTTCTTTTGTTAATTGTGCTTTTGGCTTCATGTCTAAAAAACCATTGCCTGATGAATAGTCATGAGGATTTATGCCTATGTTTTCTTTTAAGAGTTTTGTAGTTTTAGCTCTTAACTTTAGGTCTATGATTGATATTAATTTTTATATTTGGTGTGAGGTAGAGGTCTAACTTTATTCTCTTGTGTCTGGATATTCAGTTGTCCCAGCACCATTTGTTGAAAAGACTGTTCTTCCCCCCATGGAATTGTCTTGGTATCCTCATCGAAAACCAACTGATGGTAAAAGTGAGGGGTTATTTCTGGAGTCTCACTTCTGTTCTGTTAATCTATATGTCTATTTTTATGCCAGTACTGCACAGTCTTTTTTTTTTTTAAGATTTTATTTATTTATTCACGAGAAAGAGAGAGAGGCAGAGAGAGAAGCAGGCTCCCAAGGAGCAGGGAGCCCGATGCGGGACTCGATCCCAGGACCCTGGGATCATGACCTGAGCCGAAGGCAGACGCTCAACCATCTGAGCCACCCAGGCGCCCCAGTACTGCACAGTCTTGATTGCTGTTTTGAAATCCAAAGTGTGTGTCCTCCAACTTTGTTCTTTTTCAAGATTATTTCAGCTGTTCTGGGTCCCCTGCATTTCAATATGATTTTTAGGGTCAGTTTCTCAGTTTCTGCAAAGACACCAGCTGGGATTTTGATAGGATTGCATTAAATCTGTTAGTCATTTTTGGAGGCTATTTCCATCTTAATATTAACTTTTCTAATCCATGAATATGAGATGTTTCTCCATTTAGTTAGGTCTTTAATTTCTTTCAACAATGTAGTTTTCAGATGGTCCGTTTTACACTTTTTAAAAATGTACTGCTAAGTTTTTTATTTGTATTTTTTTGATGTAATTGTGAATGGAATTGTTTTCTTAATTTTATTTTCAGACTGTTCAAGGCTAAATTTTTTTGTATATTGATCTTGTATCCTGCAACTTTGCTGAACTCATTAGTTCTAACAGTTTTTTTTAGTGGACTCTTTAGGATTTTCTATATAGAAGATCATCTCATCTGCATATAGAGATAGTTTTACTTCTTCCTTTCTGGATGCCTTTAATTTCTTTTTCTGGACTAAGTGTCCTGGCTAGAATCTCTGATACAATGTTGAGCAGAAGTGGCAAGATCAAATGATCTTTTCTTAATGCTATTCTAATACTGATGAAATTAAGAACTTTTAAAATGAGCCCCATCCTCTCATTCCGTTTGATGTCATTAGTTGAGGGCTTACATGAGGACTTGGTCTGAAGAGAGGTGAGCGAAGGGGCCAATCCCCGTTTTAGGAACTCAGCCTTGAAGCAGTGCAAGTTTTTACATTTTTTTCCCCCAAACACTGGTGATGAGGCTGACTTCTGCTTCCCCAGAGCAGTGGTCAGAGCCTGGTCAAAGCGACAGAGAGGTGCACACACATACTAAGTATGTGCACCTTTATAGCAGGTTATTTTATTGAAAGGATTAGAAGAATCTGTACAGTAACATGATAGCAAGCACTTACACTGAGCCACTTATAAATAATGACTACTTCAAGTTCTTACTTAAAAAAGATAATTTCTAGTATTCTGTATGTTTTTTTCTGATAGAAAATTTGCAAAATACAGAACAGTGCAGATATATTAAAAAATCACTTATATCACAGAGATGACTGCTGTTAACATGGTGTCAGTAGCTTTCTATTATTTTTTCTATCTATACATTTGCATTTATATATTTTATGTAACGGAGAATTTGAAATATGTATAGATCATTTTGTAACTTCTGTTTTTATCACAAAAGTTGACAGTGCACATTTTCGTATGACGGTGCTATCCGGAGGTCCTCTCTAGGCTAGTGGTTTCCTAGGGGCCTGGAATGGGATAAAGCAAATACGCTCACTGATGGGTTTTTCCCTCCCTCCTCTGCTGTAGAAATTGGTGTGTTAGCCAAGACTTTCATTGACCAAGGGAAGCTCATCCCAGATGATGTCATGACTCGGCTGGCCCTTCATGAGCTAAGAAACCTCACCCAGTATAGCTGGCTATTGGATGGTAAGTGGTGTTAGAGCATTTCAGCTGTCCAGAATGATGAGCGTGGACAGAGAATGAGCATTTCGTGGCTACTGACACACATCTGGTGTGGGGTCCTCGGGGGGTGGGGCGCGCTGAGTGCTGCCATTCACCACCCCGAGGCCTTGAGCCAGTCATCTTCTCTGGACCTGCTTCTTCATCTGAGGAGAAAGACAGAAGTGGACTGCACAGTTCCTATGCTCCCTTCAGATGTGACTCGTTCCTTCACCCTCCTTTTAGACTATTTTATGAGGGGGGGGAAGGAAGGGTGGAAAGTAATTTGCAATCAGTTGTAAACTTTCTCCAGCCAGAAGTGTGGCGGGAACCTTGAGGAAAGGTTGATTTTTAGTTTTTGAAGAAACACCGATGTTTATTTTAAGGAATTGGCTCACAGGATGATGGGGGCTGACAGGTCCCGAGATATTCAGGGTGAAGACCCAGGAGAACCAATGGGTGGTTAGGCTCCAGTCTGAAGGCCAGCAGGCTTGAGACCCAAGAGGAGCTGACTTCTTTCCGTTTGAGTCCGAGGCAGGAAAAAGCGGGCGTCTCAGCTCCAGGGTCATCAGGCAGGAGGAACTCCCCCTTATTGGGGGGAGGGTCAGCCCTTCCAGTCTATCCAGGCCTTCCGTGGATTAGGGGAGGCCCACCCACATCAGGGAGAACAATCTGCTTTACTCAGTCTCCTGATTTAAATGTCACTGTCACCCAAAAACAGCCTCACAGACACACCCCAAATAATGTTTGACCAGCATCCAGGAGCCCCATGGGTCCAGTCAAGTTGACGCATAGAATTAACCAACCATCACAGTTGCCTTAGAGCTGTGATCAGCCTTCCTGGTATTACTGCTTTTGTTCAGATTGTTCATCATTAATTCTCTTCCTTCTTCCCCTCTCCCAACCTTCCTTTATTCTTTTTTTTTTTTTTTTTAATTTGTAAAGGTTTTCCAAGGACACTTCCACAGGCAGAAGCCCTGGATAGAGCTTATCAGATAGACACAGTGATTAATCTGAACGTGCCCTTTGAGGTCATTAAGCAGCGTCTCACTGCTCGTTGGATTCATCCAGCCAGCGGCCGAGTCTACAACATCGAATTCAACCCCCCCAAAGCTGTGGTGAGTTGTTGTGGTGGCACAGACGGTCTCTGACTCTCTTGCCCGCCCAGATGTAAGTGTTAGGACGCCTGCTCCTGAGGGAATGCTCTCAGGTCATGAGGTGCGGTGGACGGGTCCAGTGCACTTAGCTTGTCGGTAAAGGAATCCGCAGGAACGAAGGGGGTTTGTTACTCATTCAGAACCATTTACGGATTTCTTACTCTGTGCCGGGGCGTGTGTGAGGACTTGGGGTAAGAAGGATTAGTGACCGCTGTGGCTTATTTAGGGGTTACCATTGGGATTCCCAGGCTATCGCTGAGTCATTTTGTATATATATGCAATTATTGAGAGGCTGCTTTTAGGAAGGCTTTTAACTCTAAGGACTGATACTGGAGATGACTCTGGGGTCTCAGGGCTCTGCGTTGCAATGATCTGTGTTTGGATTTGATTCTGTTTACTTAAAAGCACGCTTTTGTGCTTGGTGCTTGCATAGAGATGTCTAAAAATCACTTAACTGCTCATAAAAATATGCTTCAAAGATGAGATGTTTGATCTCAGCCTCTTGTAACTCCCGTTTAGGGCATTGATGACCTGACCGGGGAGCCTCTCATTCAGCGTGATGATGACAAGCCAGAGACCGTTGTCAAGAGGCTGAAGGCTTATGAAGTCCAAACACAGCCGGTCCTGGAATATTACCAGTGAGTATGTCGCTTCTCAGAACTTCTCTAAATGATGAAGTACTAAGTCAATTTTCGATTATCCATGCTGTACAGCTGAAATGCGAAATACCAGAAGATCCGATTCAAATTGGTTTAAACAGTACAGGAAGTGTATTTGCTTGCATAACAGACACTTCCAGAAGGTAGGTTGGGCTTCAGTCACGACTAGGTTTGATCAGAGTCTTGCCATTCTTTCAGCTCTGCGTTGGCTGTGTCCGTAGACTCCTGGCGTAGTTGCACGCAGTTTCCAGGAACAGGTGGGGCATCCTTTTTCGTGGAGAGATGAGTGATCAGCTTTCCCCCAAGTGAAAAGCCCCACATGTCACAAAGGGGGCACCAACGTGAACAACCACTGTGGTCAGAGAATGCCTTGCACTAACTGTTTCAGGCCTAGGTTACTGCCCGTTCTGGAACCAGCTCCTGGTTGGGAGGGAATAGGCTGGTTGGTTACCCCCTGGAGCGGGGAGTCCTCCCAAAGTCTGCCATCAGGTAGAGGGAGGGCAGCCGTGGGTGCTGGGGAGGAAGGTCTGATAATGCCCACCACCCGTGCCGTTAGAGGATGTTTAGAAGCCTCAGATGGCAACCTACCCTCAGATCATTTGTTTGGCCAATAGTCTTTAAAAGCTTATATCTGAACACAGTCTTGTGTGCTCGTTAGGGAGTTCATATGCCGCAACAAATATGGGAACTATGCTGAATAAATATTTGACGCAGTGCCATCTGCTTACTCAGTCTTTCCGTCTGCTCATGGAGTGACTGCATCCCCTTTGCCTTCGTAACACTGACTGAACAGTGATTGTCAAGACAGCCCAGTGCTGTGGTTGGAGCAGATTCTGGATCCTGACTGCCTGAGTTCAAATCCTAGCTCATTGTTGATTAACTTGCTCTTAACCTCTTGCTTAACTGGGGGTAAGAATACAGGGTCAAAAGAGTGCGTTACTAGGAGTGACTTCTAGAAGTATGTCTGGGGCACAGTGAACACTGTATCATCGTTGGCTCCTACTGGTGGTGGAGTAATGGGGTATGCATGCAGTGACCCCTGAAGCCATAGTCTCCAAACGGTTCTAGGGTAGTACTTTCTGGAGGGTGAAATTACAAGGGAGTTGGCAATTCACTTTCTCCAGTGGCTAGTACTGTAACTTTGTGGTTTGTGTAATGAGCTTGGCTCTGCAGGTGACCAGCTATGTATGTGGCCCTGGGCACGGTCTTCATTCAACCTTTGTGCCACAGATTCGTCATGTGTTAAGTCAGAGCAGTATTAAATAGTACCTACTGTATAGGGCTGTAAAGGGGATTGAAAGAATTCACAGAGAGGCTTACCACAGCCCCGACACCAATAAATCACTCAGTGGTAGTTGCTCTTTTTATTTACTCTGCTGACACCGGTCCTCGTGGGTCAGGGCCAGGCCCCAAGAAACTGCACCTGCTCTATGTGGGTGAGGCAGAGCGCTGGGTAAATCATTGTTGCCATACTATGGGATATGTGCTTCTATCAGTCAGGAACCTCATTTGCACCAGCTTCAGCAAAGGGGAATTTCTTCTAACTACAAAGTCCAAAGGTAGATCCTGGATCCAGGTTTTCAGACAGCGTCCTAGGCCTCAGTCACGCTCAGCTCCTTTTCCGTGCTGGCTTCAGTCTCAGGTGGGCTGTCCCTGTGTGAGCCCCCCAGCATCCCTGCTTGTCTCTTACCAGTTCAGCTAGAGTAGAAAAGAGGGCCCCTTTGCCAGGAACAGTCCTGGAGTCGGCACCCATTCACTCTGATCACGTCCATTCTGGAAGCTGGGGAGTGGGGAGAGTTCCACCCAAATGTCACAGACTGAGTTTGGTGGAGGTGTTATTTCCCAAATGAGGTTTTGTTAATCACTCAAAAAGTAACCAGAAGGGAGAGCACATTGTTGCTGGGCTGAGAACACTGCAAGGCTATTCATAAAGGTGACCACCTCGTGCAGCGGAAACAGGGGTTACTTCTGTCCAGAAGTGGGGAGGGGAGTTGGGAAGGCTGCGGAGAGGAAGTGTATGATCTGGGTCCCATCTTAGGAGATACCCTAGTCTATCCTAGTCGCTTTTTTTTTAAGATTTTATTTATTTGAGAGAAAGAAAGAGCATGAGCAGGGGGAGGGAAGGGCAGAGGCAGAGGGAGAAGCAGGCTCCCCACTGAGCAGGGAGCCCGATGCGGGACTCGATCCCAGGACCCTGAGCTGAAGGCAGACACTTAACCTACTGAGCCACCCAGGCATCCCCAGGAGATACCCTAGTCTTTCCAGGCTTCTGGCTTTTGCTCCCTCTTGCCATCAATTGAAGCTTTTCCTTCGAAACTCCTGCACATAGCGCTAGGGCTGGACTTAACCCAAAACTGAAAGTGGTATTTGCAACAATTTCAGTGGTAATCAGTATTGTTATTTTACAATACTGACAGTTGTGTTGTTTTTTAAAACTCAGCAGCGGGACATTTACAGAGTCATTAGGTTTGTGTTAACAAACAGCACAATGTTCTTACCCCAGAGGACCTATAGGTGAGGCTGGGTTTATTTCATAGAAATTAAAATGACAAATGTCCATCCAAGGGACGGCTTCAGGATTCTATGAGGTGCCTGCACTTGTGCCCTCAGTAATGAACTCAATTGTGACACTGGCTTGATTTGAAAACTTTTTTTTTCCCCAGAGATTTTATTTTTTTATATGAGAAACAGCGAGAGAGAGAGAGAGAGCGAGAGCGAGAGCGTGCGCACAAGCAGGGGGAGGGGCAGAGGGAGAAGCAGACTCCCCGCTGAGCAGGGAGCCCGACATGGGGCTCGATCTGAGGACCCCGGGATCATGACCTGAGCCAAAGGCAGACGCTTAACCCACTGAGCCACCCAGGCGCCCCAAGAGTAGGAGTTACCTAAAGTTAGTCTTAACTCTGGCAAATTTGTAAGGTATCATAGAGGAATGCTTTTGTCTTCAGGGAAGCCTCTGATAATCAAGTGAAAGGCTGCAGAGGGAGGACTGATTCTGTTTTTAGAAAGAAACCTGAGTTCCTCGGGTGCTCTTAGGCAGACTTTAAGACACTTTGTGTGAGTTGGAGGAGGAGGAATGCCAGAATCTCTGGAGGGAGTGTGTGTGTTCTGAAAAGCAGCCCTGGTCACCTGCTCCTGCTCACCATCTTACCCCCAGGGGTAGAGAGACATTGGCAGCTCAGGTGGTGGCAACCCATGCCAATCTGCCTGGGGAAAACTGGAGAAACAACAGGAAACACCAGAAAAACAGTTTTTATTACCATTTCCCCCAAATTCAAAAGAGGAAAAAATAAACCTAAGCAAAAAGCAGGAAACATCAAATATTAGGAAGTGGTTTTGCCAAGTGGGTAAGCAGACAAAGAAAGCCAAGGGTGTCTGATGGGCCCCATGTTTGCAAGCCTACTTCTTACCAGTTTGGAGATCTGGGCTGTTACTTTACTTCTAACACACAGTTTTATCAGAAAAATAAGGAATCTGAGCTTTAGAAAGGATTACGTGAACTATTATATTTAAAACACTGAGCACATGCTAAGTGCTCCTGTTTTTCAAGTGACCATTTCCGTAAGCCATAGGACACAAATGCAACTAAAATTTAGGTTTACCAATGCCAAGCCAATGGCTTTCTCTCCTGATCACAGACCATACTTACTGAGACCCCTAAATCCACATCATTTTTAATTTTTAAAAAATTTTTTTAAAGATTTTATTTATTTGACAGAGAGAGACACAGCGAGAGAGGGAACACAAGCAGGGGGAGTGGGAGAGGGAGAAGCAGGCTTCCCGCGGAGCAGGGAGCCCGATGCGGGGCTCGATCCCAGGACCCTGGGATCATGACCTGAGCCGAAGGCAGACGCTTAACGACTGAGCCACCCAGGTGCCCCAATCCACATCATTTTTTAAAAAAACTCTCCTCCCCCGCCCCCCACGTGGAGTTTGAACTCAGGACCCTGAGATTAAGAGTACACCCACTGAGCCAGCCAGGCGTGCCTCACATCATCTTTTGTTAAGTATCACTTTGAGTGCTGAAGACACAAAAAAGTCGTTATGTGGAATGTTTCAAGAACCAGTATAGGTTACCATTGCATCTACACGGTAAGAATCGTGATCCCAACATGCAGATTGAAATGAATATATATATATATACTCATATATATAATAAAAATAAATGAATATATTATAAAGAAGAATTTATAGAGTATAAAAACAGAGATGCCATTTCATCATTGACTTTGTTCTCTGAAGAAGAATCCAGAGCTGGAAGGAAGCACCATAATACTTTACAATATCATGTCTCAGCTCAACCAGAGAAAACCTACACTCTGAAAAGATGTACTGTTGGTTCCAAATGTGTTGTGTGGTCAAGTCTAAGAAACACATGGTCTAGGGGCGCCTGGGTGGCTCAGTCGTTAAGCGTCTGCCTTCAGCTCAGGTCGTGATCCTAGGGTCCTGGGATCAAGCCCCATGTCGGGCTCCCTTCTCCGCGGGAAGCCTGCTTCTCCCTCTCCTGCTCCCCCCACTTGTGTTCCCTCTCTCGCTGTGTCTCTTTCAAATAAATAAAATCTTTAAAGAAAAAAAAAAGACACATGGTCTAAATGTGAATCTTCGCTGAAGGAGGCACAAGGGTGTGGAATCTTTCAAATGGTATGTAGTGAACTCTGAGAATGTCTGGAATGGCATACCCAAATTGGTTAAGAGTCCATTTGAGGCCATATTCCAACCAGGGGGAAAAGATCTTCACTTCATGTCATCAGATCATACTACACCTGAAGAAAAGGGATCTGGAAGTGATAGTGATTTAACATGGATCCACAGATGTGGCCAGTCAGTCAGAACCTGCTCTTAAACATCTCACCCAGACCGACAGAGCATTTGAGCAAATCAAGAGCATGTAATCACAAGAAGCTATCATTTTTGAAAACTTTGATATGCATTGAAAACAAAATAGATCTCAGGGTGACTATGCTGTGTATTTATAGTGGTGTTGCTGTATATATGGATCTAGGATCTTTCTTCTCCCTCTAAATGTGTTACGTTCCTTATCAGTTAGGATTTATTTTGCTAAACAATTTGCTAACACATGACTCAAATTAAAAAACCAAACCCTATTTGTTTCTTTTGAATATAGTGTTTAAATTAAAGTAGAAAATTATAGGGGTTCCTGGGTGGCTCAGTCGTTAAGCATCTGCCTTCAGCTCAGGTCATGATCCCGGGGTCCTGGGATCGAGCCCCACATCGGGCTCCCTGCTCCGCGGGAAGCCTCCTTCTCCCTCTCCCACTCCCCCTGCTTGTGTTCCCTCTCTCAGTGCCTCTCTCTCTGTCAAATAAATAAAATCTTAAAAAAAAACTTACAGGTTTATGACAAGTATATGATATGATGCTATGTAGGGGGGATGGCTCTGTTAAGAGTAACGCCTTCAGATTTTTTGTTTTGTTTTTGACACTTTGCCTTGTCTGTCTAGTTAAACATTTGACTGATACTCTGTTTGATTTTGGAAATATTCTAATATGACCCAAGATTTGAATAAAGTTTCTCCCAGAAAAAAAAAAATCACTTTGAAAAAGCTCATCAGGAAGAGTCAGACCTGTAGTTTTGTTTGTTTGTTGTTTGTTTTTTTGTCATCTTTAGGAAAAAGGGGGTATTGGAAACCTTCTCTGGAACAGAAACCGACAAGATCTGGCCCTATGTCTATGCTTTCCTACAAACAAAAGTTCCACAAATAAACCAGAAAGCATCAGTTACTCCATGAGGAAAAGTGCATATAACCAGTGAGATGAGCAGAGACTCCTCGCCTGTGCGTTTAGAAGCTCCTTGTTCTGAGACTGGCATGAATGAATTCTTCGACAGTTATAGTCGTTTCACTTCTACAGATTTTATTCTGGAAACTAAGGATGTGTCAAATGAGTCCGATACAAAGATTCATCTTTTTGTCTAAGTGGGTTTTACCCAGGTATCTTCTATGGGTGTGCAATTAAAAAACAATCAGATATCTTAACTTTTGAAAAATGTTCTAAAGCATAATTAAAAGAGCAGTTGGTAGTAATATAACTTTTGTTCAGAGAAAACATTGGTTGATAAAAATTTTCTAATTTTTCTGGAAAAGCTAAAAAGAAAAAATTCCATGTCACTTGGTAAAGTATCTCATTAGAGAAATGTGTGTAGACTCTTGCCAAAAAAACCGGCACTGTCAGTGCTTGTGCTACATGGTTTTGTGAGAAACTACGTCTATCAAATTCTAGAAAACAAGCAACTAGATATGCAGATTAGTTTCAGGGTGCAAATTCACTGCTGCCTTTACACTAAGAAACTTATAAGCTTAGCCGTATATACTGTATTTATTGTGTAAAACAGACCTTCAGTTTACTCAGAATTTTCAGTCTGCTATAAAATTGTGTTAAATCCGCATATAGGAAAATACTCAGGTTAAGAAATATGTGCTTTAGGATCTACTTGCCAGTTTCTCTTTTTGATCACTATGTAAGGTCTGCTGTGATGAGTAACAAAGTCCAAAAAGAAAAGAAAACCTATGGCCCTAAGTAAAGTAAGCATACTTGGTCGTCAGGAAGTAGAAATGGATCAGGTATGCTTGGGGAGAATTCCCCTGACACACGCAACAATCATAATTAGTAAACTAATCAAATAAGTAGCAGTTAAAAGGATTTACGTGAAAGGTTGAAAAGGACCAGGAAAGTAACTGAGTTTGCTGAAGGAGTTCTTTATTCCTAATCAAAGCAGTGGACCCCGTCCTCTGGCAGGGAGAGACCTCTGCCTGTGTGTGTGGACGCTGAGTAGCCATTTAAAAGTGAAGATGATCTGCTTTCTTGGTGGGGCAGCAGGGACGCGAGCTCCCATCCTGTGGCCTGGTAGGAAGAGTAGGGCGAGGACAGGCGGAGCAGCGACCCAGCTACGTCTTCACTGGCCTATTCACTCTTCCTCGGTGCTAACCCCAGTGCAACAAGTCCTCGTGCAAGCTGCTGGTGAGTGCCTTTGAACGCCTGGCCCGTGGTATCCCTGGCACTTAAAATATAAACGCCAGCAAGTGGTTCTTTATGTATTTTGTGGGGAAAAAAGTTCTTTTCTTTTGATTTTTAAAAATTTAATGTTGATCTTTCAGAATGGACCAAGGCTTTTAAGAAGGATTATAGGACACATTTAATTCTGTACAAAACTTTCTGTAATGCCTTATTTGAATGTTAGTATTATGTGCTTTCTAAAACTTGAAAACTACTAATGAATTATCACTAGGTTACCAGGCATACATGAGTATTAGTGTACTACAATAAAATTAAATTTGGAACTGTGGGTGTTACTTTGTCTTCGGTATTCCACGGGGCCCACCCCATCCCCGATGTCTCCCTGGCTTCTGAATTGATGACTGCTTTCTAAATTTTTTTAAGATTTTATTTATTTGTTTGAGAGAGAAAATGAGATAGAGAGCATGAGGAGGGGAGGGTCCGAGGGAGAAGCCGACTCCCCGCTGAGTGGGGAGCCCGATGCGGGACTCGATCCCAGGACTCCAGGGTCATGACCTGAGCCGAAGGCAGTCGCTTAACCAACTGAGCCACTCAGGCGCCCTGATGACTGCTTTCTAATAACTGTCTTACAACAGTATATAGGCTGGTTTCATTTGAAGCTGTTATCTCCTGCTATAGGATTGCAGGCATACTGGCCTTCTTAACACACGTAGATTTGGAAATCAAGAAGAGGGGTAGAAGAACATGGCTTTGAAAACTGAGACTTCTTCCCTGTGACCATTCCCTCCCTACTCCTAAAACACTTCACCCAAAGTTTTGCACATATATCCATTACTTTGGGGAACACCTGCACTATTACTTTTTTCCTTTATTATAGCAAATAAAGAGAACTTATTTTATGCTGAATGAGTTGGTGTCAGACCATCCTGATGAAAGCTGTCATTGCTGAGGAGCACATCCTGCTAAAGAACATAATGCTCAACGGCCATCATTACAATTTATGTGCCACATGGAAATATGTCTGGAGCTGAGTGCCATGGCCAGGGGGAGCCACCATCCTTAAAGGCTAATAAGGAGAACAGTTTCAGGCGCCTGGGTGGCTCAGTCGTTGAGCGTCTGCCTTCGGCTCAGGTCATGATCCCAGGGTCCTGGGATCGAGTCCCACATCGGGCTCCCTGCTCCACAGGAAGCCTGCTTCTCCCTCTCCCACTCCCCCTGCTTGTGGTCCTGCTCTTGCTCTCTCTCTCTAATAAATAAAATCTTAAAAAAAAAAAAGAACAGTTCCTTAACCTGTTACCCTATTTTCCAGAATACCACAGTTATTCCATAAGCAGAATGTGCTGTGGGAAATGCAAACTGGCAGTACAATCCACAAATTTTCTCAATTTCATTTGAAATAGATTACATACTCACTCAAATTTCTAAACCCCAGGCCACAGCTACTTTCCCCCAGGTATTTACAATGGCATCCCAGCAAAATAGTTTGGACACTTCATAGTTGGAGATAAAACTTATCTATGTTAACAACAAACCATGGTAATTACAGACTAAAGGTTAAATTGCTATAATGCCTGCAACCAACAGCAAGAATAAATTTGTAGTTTAAAACATGTAAACTGTGTCTTCTCATGGACAAAAGAAATAGCTTTCTTAGTTTTGCAACTCAAGGTTTTGATTTTGGAGGTTATTAGTTTAAAAATTTTAAAACACAGTAAAAGCCAACCACTCTGTTTTGTGTTTTGTTTTGTTTTTTTTTCAACTAATGATCATGGTTTTTCCATATATATAGCACTGACTGAAGTTCAACTGTTAACGCCAAATTGCACTTTGGAAGGATTTTACCGAAGTAAATCAATTTGGTGATGTTTCATATTTTACCAAGTGTTTGAAGAGAATCATGCTGTTTTAAGAAACCAAGTTAAAGATGCAGGATTTTTTTTTTTATCATTTTGATACTTAGAAAAGAGAAAACTTCAAGTCTAATTCTTCAAGGCTTATGAGAATGGTTTTGACATCATTATTAGATGCTAAGCAATTCATAACTGTTTATTCTTTTGTAACCACCCCCCCAATCACCTTACCTAGTAAGCAAGCAAATACTTATTCCATGAGTCCAATTCTCGGAGACCTGTGAAATGGTACACAGTATCTATTACAGATGGGAAATGGATGCAAAGGATTTTAGGAATTTTTAAAATGTGTATGATATAGTGACAAAACTGAAATGAACAGTCTGACCTTAATCCTGACAAATACATCTCCGTCTCTTATCAATTTAAGAACTGAAATATGTGATTGATCCTGAGAACAGTATATTGACATCTTCTTATTTTTCTCTGAAAATGCCCCAAGGTTAACTTCAGGATCACTGCCTAAACCCACAATCAATTTTTTCATCCTGTAAGTAAATCTACTTATTAAACCGGACTCATGTTCTTTGATCAGCATGTTAATTCACTTTTAAAAGGGAAGAGGCATGTTAATCTAAAAGAACACCCAATTTTCCTAAAGAGAAGTTATAGGACATTATGAGCTTATGCAGAATTGGAAAGAGCCCACTAATGGTGTAACTGGATGAGAATGTTACCCATTTATCTCCTAGAGACGAATTTTGGATCAGTATTATCTCCACTACCATGGATAAAATGACACCGAGTTAACGGGCAATAAATGTAGTAGCTACTTAATTTTTAAAAAAATCTTTTATTAGAAGGTTAATTTTATCAGATGAAATAAGAATCTTTGATGGATACTTTGATGTCAAAATGTTTCATTCATCTGTTGGGACATTTCATCTGTCTGGACAGCCCAGCAAGTACGGACAGCGCAGCAAAATTCAATCTGAAATATTATTTATTATTTATTAAGAAACAGAAAAGAGGACATTTTTCTTGAAAGGGGTAGTTCTTAGTACTAAAGCAAAATAAAGAAAAATAAAAAGGGCGTCAATTTACTGTTCTTAGTACTAAAGTACTGCTAAATATGTCAAAGTTAAAGTCTCTAAGTGCAAATCATGGCATTAGGGGCCCCCAGAGTAAACTCAATTGTATATACATACAACACACAGAACACTTCCCTTTGAAAGTAAAAAATATATATATAGCTACAATCTTAAATAGTTCTTCAAGAATTCCTGTTTCAGAGAACACAACCAAATAACCCTTCCGTAGTTTACTCAGTTGGTTGGTCATCTCGTTCCTCCCAGTGCTTGGTCATTAACACCTCTAACTTAAAGGCAAAGGAGATTCAAAACAATTTGGGTGCTTCCAGGCAGATCCTGGGGAAAGGTGAAGCTGAGGAATGGGAGGTAATGGCTCAAGTAACATTTCTGTGACATCGGGGATTTCCAGTCTCTATTTGACAGGAAGGGAAAAACAAGAGCTTACTCTAGAACAGGAAAACAAAACAAAAACAAACCTTCTGTAACTAGGTCATTAGTTTAAAAAAAAATTACAGGCTGATGAATACTACCATATAAATTAGTCAAACATTTTATTATAGAGTATATATTTTTATCAAAAGCACAAAAAGTTTTATTCTGAAAACCAGGAAGATTGTGATGTTACAGAAGTATGATTCAATAATTCCAGTCCATTTCTATGGGTATCATGTGCCTTACCACCTCAGTTAACACAAGGTGCAAATGAGGCCACGGTCACAGGGCTGATCACATGGGTCCCTTAGCATTATTTGGTTTCTCAAATTGAGACATGTACTCCCAATCCCAGTCAGCCCGTCTTCCAGATGTGTGCTGCTACTCTCAATGGGACTGAGCCAGAGACTATACCCAATACACAGCAAAGCCCATGTTCCCCTAAGTCAGAAGATGAATCCTCAATAATAAGAAGAGCATAATAAGCACTGTCATCTAATTCCAAGTGAATACTCAAATACCCTGGCACATCTGAAATGAATTCTATAGGAAGTAGTAAAGCTCAGAAGCATTCTATGGTAACTGACCTAAGGACAGAAATGACAAATGTAGTAAAAGCCATCATTACCAACAAGGATCACCAAATTCTTAGAAGTAAGGAGTTGGCAGCTCGAGGCAGTTAGGTCTTCAAGATTTCTCCTGCCTTTTAAAAAAGTCCTTGGGCTACATGAGAATGAAACAAACAACCATGATTTAAAAAATCAGATTATTCTTCCTGTTTGTTCTTACAGGCCATTAGTATTCTTTTAAAACTTGCTCCCTGAGAGATCCCAGACTATGTCAAGTAAAGAAATTAAGAGTGAGCTTGAACTTGATCTTATTAAAAAAAAAATCTGTATTAGTTTTATCACTTTTTATATTACTATAACCCTTAATACTGAAAAGTCAACAGGGTAAAATTAACTTCTAAGTAATGCAGTTTTAAGAATACATAGGGGATAAAGTCAGTATCTATATAAAAAATGAGATTATAGTCAAGGATTTAACTGATGGTGTCGAAAATACAAATGTAATATTATTTTAAAGGGAAGGACTTTGTTTTAATTTTTACCACCCAGCTTATTTAGTAAAGTAGATTATCAACTACTGATTTATTGCTTTTACTATGATGCAACACCAGACCTGACAGCGAAATTTGCAGTAGGATACAAGTACATTTTTATCTTTAATCATTTTTGTAGAGTAGGACATGTACATATCCACATAAAAAGAGACTGTAGCAGATGCCTCCTAGAATCAACCAGTTCTTGTAAACATTGCATTTGTGCAGATTTTCACACTCTGATTCCAAAACTGAGAACAATAAGATTAAAGGCAAATTTAGTAGCCAAAAAAAAAAAAAGTCCAGTTTGACTTCCTACAACATACGGTACCACTCCTCTCTTCCAAAAAAAAAAAAAAAAAAAAAAAAAAAAAAAAAAAAACCCAATTTTACACCAAAAAAAACACAATACCCCCCCCCTCCCTAAAAAAAAAAAAAAAAAAAAAAAAAAAAAATCAAAAAACCTAGCAGCACATAAAAAAAATTTTACAAAACGTTTCAGTACTCTTTTTTCCCCTCCCATCAAAACCGAACAAAAATAAAGTGCAGCACCCATAAAAGTGTCAAGAAAATAGCCAAGTTCTTCCTTCCTTGTAACAAAATAGCACTTGGCCTCAGCAGTCTTAACCAAATCATACAGTGTCCATCATTTTGGATTCATCATCTTCTTTATGTACCACTGAGTTTAAACTGCAAAGAGCTGTATTGACAGAATACTGAAGATAATCTGGATTCTGGGGGGAAAAAAAAAAGAATATAGGGAAGAAACAATGGATGATAACAGTTTTATGCCAGTGTACGCAACTACATACTCAGTTTCACACAGTCTACTTCTCTGCAGTGTAGTA